AGATCCGAGTCTGCTATCTGTATCTCCATTATTTCCACGACGCGACGGATCACGATGCATGCTTTCAGCCGCCGGCCTCCAGCCAGCCAGCCAGCCACCCAAGCATCCAGTCACCCAGCCGAGCAGAGGAAGTCATCCAGCGTTAAGCGGCTCTCCAGACGTGTTCCCTAGTTGAGCTGGGCCGGACCGGTCGTACCGAGCAGACGTGGCAAACAGCCACCGCCACAGAGACAGTTATCAGGCGGTGGATCCTGATACCGGCACCGGCCGGCCGGAGAAGAGTCGCCCCACCGGACCAGCTCCGTGTTTTGAGTGTTGCAGTCTGATGACATCAGCAAGTGCAGGTTCGGCGATCCGGTTTGGGTCTAACGAGACGGCCGTGACGGCAGACGGGTGTCAGACCTTGGTCAGAGCGAGCAACCGAGAGATGGCCAGGCGTCCGTGGTTCGTACTCCGTACCATCGCCGGCGTCCGGCACTCCCCTATTGATTCCAATTGGATTCAACATTCATCGTGCGCAACAATGGTAGATTTACCGGGTAGAGCGCTGTAGCGGTAGTGGCTTTACCCGAACTATAGAAGTATAATGATTAATTGACTCAAACCGGGCGTTGTACGCATTGATTAATTAACCTCCACTGGATCCCGCAACGTAGATTGACCCGAGCCGCATTATGTCGTGGTGAATTGGCCGTGACTGGTCAGACAGGCAATGTCTTGCGTAGATTTCTTATTCGAATTCGACAATAGTACCGAAAAGGCACCGAAGGCAGCAACTATACCTGCCACCCACCGCCAACCGTACCAGAGCCGGAAATGGTCCCGCTGCTAGTAATGGTACCGGAAAACACTGATACCGGTTCCGATACTTGTTCCGGTTCAATAAAGGTGGAAGACCCGTACAATATTCCTTGATTGGCCGTCCAGCCGTTGATCCACATGACTTCATGCACTCCGGTCCGGGTAACCCGCTCATCACGTCCCAGCCGGCCGCTCCGGACGGCCCAGCTCGGACCCGTCCCCGCTCTCAGGGGGGGGGGGGGGCGGTCACTGGTCAGTCAGTGGTCACCGGACCGGTTCAGCAAATCAGCAGCCGCTCCGGTCGGCCCGGCCCCGGCCGTCACCGGCGCCTCTGCTCGACACCGCGGTCACCGGAGCCCCTCATTCACCTATGCCGGACAGTGGTCATACATTGGACGGCCGGGCTCCGAGCTGAATCGATTTCACACACTTTGGGCCAAACATAACGGATAGTCATGCCACCGGGCCACAGGTCGACGGTCAGTGTACCGCTCCGTGTCATAGGTCAGTGCCCGGTGTACAGTCGAACGTCAAAGGCTGGCAGTCGGCGTACCGCTCCAGGTCACAGGCCAACAGCAGTGGTGTACCGCTGTGTCACGGAACTACAGCTGCCTCAATGGCAAGGTCAGGTGTCCGCCCATCAGTACCTCACGTCCAGCCATTGAAGCCGATACTCCACCGGTGCTCCTGCCGAGTCGCGCGGCGTCGAAATCCGACCCACGTACAGGTGTCATACGACACCAGTCGAGACGGCGGGGACGGCCATACGCCGCCACAGGCGTCGGCACTGCGGTACACATCATCATCAGACTGGGCGGGCAATCGACTCAAATGCCCGAAAGGAAAACAGCAGTAGACAAGGTGCAGCGTTCATGTAACTGCTCAGCGATTGTGTTCCTACTTTTTACGTCTTTACTACCACAACATCGAAGCGCACGCGACCTTCCTTATAGTAATAGAGCATGACATAAAAACCAGAAAAGCCACTTTGATAGTAGATCAGCCGTGACACCATGACACCTGTTTCCTGATACGGCTCCTGAATGACATAACTCTCCGGGGACACCATGGCCGTGAAAGTTTACGGCGGTATTCAAGCCAAGACATTGATGAGATATCGATCTAAGATGCCTCACTATGTAAAGTTAACCGCTTCAAAGTACTGACCGCGCCCCACGTCACTATACAAGTTTGACGAGCGTCGAACAACACCAAATGCTAAGGAATATAAGCTCAGTCCATCTTGATCCCTTGAAGCAGACGGATCTTATCCGTACCTACCGACAGGCAACACATTGCAAATGTTGCGGGCCCTTTTAGTTAAGCTTGGTCAGTCAGTGACTCAGTAGCCACCAATCCGTTGACGAGTTTTCTATTTTTTCCCCGACGATGGCTCCTTTGGCTCCCAATTATCAGCATGCATCATGCATGTGCATTGTGCAATATGCGCATGTTAAGGACTGATGAGGACTCGGCGCCTCCCGACCCGGCCCGGTCGATGAACTTCAGACGGCCGGCCGGCCGAGCCGGCACGGTCGCGGCGGAACGTCCTAACGGTCTGCCGTCTGCCGCGGAGACGGTCGGGAGGGGCAGGCGCGGATACAAGGGGGGGCCATGGGGGCCATGCCCCCCCCCCCTTGGCCGATTTTTTTCAAAAATAAAATAAAAAGTTAAAAAGTTAAAAAGCTGAAAAGGGGGCCTCCTGAAAATAAAGTGGCCGAAATCCGATGAGTTTTTTTTTTTTAACCTACCCACTTAGTTATTTCTTAGAAGACTAGCTGAGAAGACTTCTTTGTTAGAAGATTGGTAAAGCTTTTCATAACTTGGAGGTCTCTTATACTCACAGAGATGACCACTTTTACAGGGCCTCCTAACCTGCACAGAGGGCCTCCAAGCCTGCACAGATGTTGAGATGTTGCCTGAACAGCTAGATAAGCTCAATAGACGCAGTTTTTTTTTGGGGGGGGGGCCCAACAAGTGGGAAGATGGGGCCTCCAACAGGTGGGATTATGGGGGGGGGGGGCCTCCTGGTTTCTAATGGCCCCTCCCTTGGAGATTTTCTGGATCCGCCCCTGGGGAGGGGAGACGCACCGCCACCGGCCGCCGAGCCGACAACACTGCAGCCAGCCGTCATCACTCACCCACACATGACCACCACGGTAATACGGCTGCAGTACAGCATCGTCATGAGATGCAGTCACCTGAACGTCAATACAGCCACGCTGCCTTTTGTGAACTTGTCCCGCCAACAGGCGACCCGTGCGTGTGTGATCGGAACAACACACCACACCCAATGTAGAAATGTAAAGAAATGCATGCACTATCATCAAATGTCCCAGCACCTACCGTGCTCATCTGACGATGTTGAAGAACTGGCAGACAGGAAAAAGCACAAAACAGTAATAGCTAGCACTTCCGTTGCTCTCATCTTGCTCCCGTCGATCTTGAACCACTTTTGCAAAGTCTTGTCGACTCACCGAGGCCACGGCCCTTTGTCTTGTGCCAGTTTAGCTTCAGCGACCGTCTAACCGACAGAAATCACAGCACCACTCTGTAAAACAACCTCACCGTCGCTGACAACCCGCCGACGCCGACGCCACTCGGCCGAAAAGTGAGCCAGAGTTCGGAGACGCTGCGCCAGAAACGGTCACCCGATAGGCGGGCGTCAGCTGATTGTAAACAAAGCAGCTAGCGACATCAGGCGGCCGGGACAGGAACTACTACTTCGGCCCCCGGTCGATGATCCCGGAAGAAATAGAGCAGCCAGTTTTCTTCTAAACGAAACCCGGACAGTATGGATAGCATGGTATGGAAGACGCAATAAAGTTTGGGGTAATTATCAGTTACATGGCATTAATCTCGAGCGCCAAGCTTCGTGCGAATGTTATGTCATACAGGGCTGCGGAGTCGATGGATTTACGGCGACTCCGACTCCGACTCCGACTCCGGCTTTCAAAAACCAACTCCGACTCCGACTCCGACTCCGGGCAGAAATGTCGACTACGATCGATTCCAACTCCCGACTCCGACTCCGCACACCTGGCAGGGCTGCGGAGTCGACAGATTTTCGGTGACTCCGACTCCGACTCCGGCTGGGGTTTCCAATATCGACTCCGACTCCGACTCCGACTCCGGTCACAACTGTCGACTCCGACCGACTCAGACTCCGAAAAAAAAACTTTTTAAAAAGGGATACAATTAAGTCCCAACGGTAGGTATCCAACTTAACTGCATCCACTCCTAACTGAGATCTGAAACATGGGCATGGCTGGTGAATTGTTTTTTAGCTTTAATGTTGATAATCGTTTGCAATTTTTGTAGTCGTAAAGTTAGGTATTTCACCTAGAAAAAGTGCAATATTTCATTATCATTTCGCCGTTCGAACCACTATCGTGTGGGTATACGAAGTTTATTTCACACTGAATTGTTATGTATAGTTACTTTCGGATTATTCTCTGAGATAATAATATCTAACTCACAAGTCCATATATTTCGGATGATGTTGCTCACCCTTGGTCACTGGACAAAAAAAAAATGTTTCGCCGTAGCCGTCCAAATGCTTGGCGCATAACCTGAGCTGAGGAGTGAAACGTAAAAATCAGGGACCCTTCAGCCCTCGAAACTGAAACTGAAAGCCCAAAGGTTTCGGAGCCCGAAAACCATTTTTTTTTTTTTGTCCAGCGACCAAGGGTGAGCAACATCATCCGAAATATATGGACTTGTGAGTTAGATATTATTATCGCAGAGAATAATCCGAAAAGTAACTATACATAGCTAATTTCCTGGGAAAAGATGACTTTAAAACAACACTGAATTGTGTTGCATCTCTCAGATCCGGAGCCCAAAGATTTCGGGCTCCGAAACCTTTGGGCTTAAAGTTTCAGTTTCGAGGGCTGAAGGGTCCCTGATTTTTACGTTTCACTCCTCAGCTCAGGTTATGCGCCAAGCATTTGGACGGCTACGGCTAATGCTGAATTTGGACAACATGCTTCGACTCCAGCTCCGCAGTCGCATCCATGGTGGGTTCACTTCTTTTCACGTCACTCGACTATCTTATTAAGTTTGCTCTTCCGCATCAGTATTCGCGAAAGCCCTTAGTGTTGATAACAGACAACCTCTGCCAGATTGATGCAGGTACTGAGGTGAGGGTCAGAGGTCAGGGGGTCAGTGGGGCTCCGGAACTCCCTGTACCGACAGTCAGTCGGTGCGGAACCTCTCAGAGACGGGCGGGCCGGCGCCGGGAAGCCGTACACGGGGACGGCGGCCGGTGACGCGTCCGATCCCATTACGGGCAGCCGTAGCGCGGCGGCCCGAGCGGCGGCCGGCCCAGATCGACCGCCGAGCAGCGGGCGCCAGCAGCCGACATGAGCTCCAAGGACCCCGAGCTGGACAAGCTCAAGAAGGAGCTGGACACCATCATCGAGTCCATCAAGGTGGGTCACCGCTGGAGCGGGGAAGGGCAGTCCCGAGGGATAGGGGTAGGTCGGAGCCAAGGGCAGTTTCGAGGGGTGAAGACTGAAGTGTCCCGTCAGGGACAGGTCAGTACTCCGGGGGCAGGGTCTTGGCTGGAGACAGGACAGTCCCGAAGGAATAGAGGTCCGAATGAAGGCAGGACAGCCCCATAGAACAGGAGGCCTAATCACCACCACAGGTCGGGGACGAAAAGATGGCCCCGAGGGGATAATGTCTAATGTCTGCGATGGATTAGGGACACAAGAGCGGCTGGAGGGACTCGTATCAGCGACGGGGTCAGGAAAGAAAGCTATCTGCCTCGGCTCTATTTTGAACCTCCCCATGCACTCAACCCGAGCAATGATCGCGAAAAGAAAAACTTAGCCTGAATTTTAATTTGTCGCCAATAACTGCGATCAAATTGAGTTAGCGAGTCAAAAAAGTGATCAGTGAGCTCAGACCGAGCAAATGCATTTGGTAAGTTTTTTTTTAGGTTCTAGATACCGTTATAATCGTTGGCTCACGACTGCTTCCGTGTCATTAACGGTTTGTCATTCACATAAATTGATCGTCAAAATTGTCGATCATTGAGATCGTCGACGCCAATTCGACGACAAGTACAATATGTCGCCGTATAAAATCAAAGTACTCACCACCAGCAGTGGAGGGACAGGGCGCAGTCTGAGGACACGACTCGGTCTTGGCCCAGCCGGTTCCACTCAGACCCAGGCACACCAGCAGGATCGCTCGCAGAGGGGCCGCCATCCTCACCAGCCTTCCGACCTCGCTGGCGCCCTGACAGTGGCGGACTGCCTGTCCGGGTCGACCGGTCGCCCTCCACACCGCCGCCCGAGGAACGGTCACGAGTCACGACACAATACCGTCACGACCGCACCGATTCGGGACGCTCCGTGACGCCGCTGCACGCGCAGACTCGGAGACACTGAGCGTCACGGAGACGGTGTAACGGTGGCGTCACGGACACGTCACGGACACATCACGGACGCATCACAGACGCATCACGGACGCATCACGACGACACACGCATGACACAGTGACTGTCACATAAAAATGCATTAGGTACATCGTGTGTAGCAGCATAACCAAAAATCACACAAAAACATATTAGCACAAACAAGGTCATATTCATCCATCCATCCATCCATCCATCCATCCATCCATTCATTCATTCATTCATTCATTCATTCGTTCGTTCATTCATTCATTCATTCATTCGTTCATTCATTCATTCATTCATTCATTCATTCATTGGTGAGTATATTCCCCAGGATGGCATGCTGCTCCTCCTTACTGCTCCTCCGTTTCAGGCGGCTCAGAAGAAGGGCGCCGACGCTGACCTCGTGGGCACGTGTGCTGACGTGGCCGACGCACCGCGGATTCACTCCTCGTGCCGGCGCGTCCTCAAAGGACACATCAACAAAGTGAACGGCGTCCACTACAGCGGCGACAGCAGGTCAGTGACCTAAAAGACGGCAGGTCAGTGTACGTACTGACTGCAGGTCAGTAATAGACGGCAGGTTAGTGGCAATGTCACGTCAGTAATGGACGGCAGGTCAGTGTATTGACGGCGGGTCAGTGTATTGACGGCGGGTCAGTAATAGACGGTAGGTCAGTGGTAATGTCACGTCAGTAATGGACGGCAGGTCAGTGTATTGACGGCGGGTCAGTGTATTGACGGCAGGTAAGTGGCAAGGTCAGCAATGACAGCAGCTCAATGACAGTCAGTAGATCAACTGGCAAACAGCATGTCAGAGCGACAGCGACAGCAATCAGCTCAGGGCTCAGGGGCTTATGGATCAGAGGCCGATGCTTTGTATTCCGTACCACTGTTTCTCACTCACGTGCATGACCTTTTGATAACGAGCGTCTCTCGTGATAAAGCGAACAGCAACAATCAATAGCATCACGATTATGAAAGAACAACAAAGACTTATGCAAACTCAGTTGACGGGTTTGAAACGTCTGTGATGGCTATCAGATATATCGTAGTGCAGAGCCGAAGTTCAATGCTCGGCTATTTATCACTTATAGAAAGTACTTATTCGCATCTGTGACTTGTAAAATGTATAGTCCCTCTGCGACCCATTCAGTGTGCTCGTCCAAATTTGTCGATCGTCACCCCCCACCCCTACCCCGAGGTCGTCGTGACCTGACCATCTGACGTCTTCCCGCCTCCTTGCGTTGTCGCAGACATGCAGTCAGCGGTTCACTGGATGGAAAGCTCATCATCTGGGACACATGGACCGGCAACAAGACGCAGATCATCCCGCTCAGGTCGGCCTGGGTGATGGCCACCGCCTTCGCGCCGTCCGGGAACTTCATAGGTGGGTTATGTGAGCACAGGCCAGGCTCAATCGCTCTACAGAAGCTCCCCCGCCCCGCCGAGCCGGACGGCCGAGCTCTGCTCCCTTTCTGGGCCGACTTTCAGTCAGGCTTGCCGTTACGCGTGGTCTGAAGGCATCACGCGTGTCCGGCTTTCCACTGAGAGTGCAGAGCGGCAGCCCAGAACTGGCGACACGACCCGGTAAGGTCGTGAGCTCCGGCCGGCCGGTCCGGCGCCGTGTGCGGGGCGGCACTGTCACGGTGTGCTCGACTAAGGACTCAGACCTAGACATGTGCTTAGCATAATGAGCGCTTGTTCGGCTTCTGAACGATCAGGATGCGTCATAGGATCGACAAGGCCGCGAATATTAAAATACGAATGTGCTCACGCGTCCAGCACGTAGAGATCCGAGTAAGGGCAGGGCGTTATATGTATTGTTATGGAAACCCTGCGGGATTGGAGACTCCTCTCCGTGCCCTACAGCCAATGACGGCGTCCCGTCGGATCTCTGACGTGTCCAACAAACAGTTGGACGTAACACTCTTCACGTCTTCCGGTGCCCGACAGCCAGCGGCGGCATGGACAACCAGGTGACGATTCACGACCTCAACAACCGTGACAGCAACGGCCAGGCCAAGGTGATCCGCGAGATCAGCGCCTTCGAGGGCTTCCTCAGCTGCGCGCGCTTCCTCAGCGACAGCCAGATCGTCACCGGATCGGCGGACATGAAAATGTGCGTGTAGTGGGACCGGTGACGCAGTGGGGGCGCTGACTGGGCTTGATCACAAGACCGGATCACAATTAAGATCATTCCGACCGCGTCAGATAGGGGGGGGGGGGGGCGACAGCTATTTCCAAAATTAATGTGCACAGTTTATGGTTAATGTGCTGTGGCTTATGCAGGTTAACCGACAAGCGTGGTGTCTGCTGCTGTCACGTGCTGTGGGTTCGACCCGTGAGTGTGACAGTATCTCTATGTATATCGTGCTGTGTTTGACCGATTCTCCTTCTGCAGTGTGCTGTGGTTGACCGATATCCTCCTTCGCAGTGTGCTGTGGGACGTGCAGGTCGGTAAGAACCTGGGCGAGTTCAACGGCCACGAGGGTGACGTGGTGACGCTCTCCATCAACGCCGACGCTACGCTGTTCGTGACGGGCAGCGTGGACCGCACGGCCAAACTGTGGGACGTGCGCACCCCCGGCTGGTCAGCGCAGCAGACCTTCTGGGGCCACGAGAGCGACGTCAACTCGGTCTGCGTGAGTCAATGACGGACGGCCAATATAAGTCACACATCGGCAACTTAAGTCGGTTGACAAGTAAGGTAATATCAGCAAGGATGTCCAGTTATAGCGTCATATGCTTGCTCTCCTATAAATCCATTCGTCGCCCTGCCTGGTCCCCGGATCGCATACAGCCACCCCGTCATTCTGTCTCAAGAATTCTGCAAATGCAAATGTCTGTCAGCTAACACCTCCACCACTGCCCCTTCCAGTTCCACCCATCTGGTCACGCGTTCGCCACGTGCTCCGAGGACAAGACGACGCGCCTGTTTGACCTGCGCGCCGACCAGCAGCTGGCCCAGTACGCGCCGCCCACGCCCAACTCGGCGTTCACGTGCTGCGGCCTGTCGCGCTCCGGTCGGCTGGCGCTGGCCGGATCTGACGACAACACCGTGCACATCTGGGACACGCTCAAGGCACAGCACCTCGGTACGACGTGTTTCCCAGAAAACTTTGTAAAATGCCACTTGTCACTCTCGAATGCCTCAGGTCACTAAATTTCCTCAGGTCACTAGGCGTAGTGTGCGCTGTACAGCCTAAGCCCAAGAAAAAGTAAGGAATCGACCCAGTTAACTAGTGGAACGATTGGTTACATTGTTGAGGATACAAGAACGATGATACGATCCAAACCTTTTTCTCATACTACCCATACATGTGATCAGAGGCAATTCAAATTTGTGACCTTGTGCCTTCTGTGACTGATGTCTGCCCCGTGTCGGCTGTCGGCAGGGAACCTGGCCGGTCGCGAGACTCTACACTTTTCCTGACTGATATCTGACGCGCATCGGCCGTTCTGACAGGTAACCTGGCCGGCCACGAGGGACGCATCACATCCCTGAGCGTGGCGGAAAGCGGCGTGGGCTTCTGTACCACCTCCTGGGACACGACAGTGCGAGTCTGGTACTGAACAGTCTCCTACAGCGGAGTGACGCTCCATCCAGAGGAGCGACGGACGCCCTCGGCCCATATGGAGCTGAGCGTGCCCATCACGCTGCTTCACAGGCGTTCTGGACAACACACGGAGCCAGACGACTATTTACACACCAATCTGGTTAACACATGCTACCGGCATATGTTAGCAGCTAAGGAAGCCAGAGGCAGAGTTACGTCTGCTGAGCGTGTGTAAACGGGACGGTGTGGTTCTGGGGAGGCCAGCAGCCAGCTGTCAGTCCCCAGGTTTCCACAGAGACTAGGTTCAGATGTTCATATGGATGGCAATTTGTGACAGGATCGGAAGACATTGGTTGTTGAGTTCGGCGTCATTCAGCCATTTTAATATGCGGAACGGATAGGCGGACGGCTGCCTACATAACCTGCTGGGCGGTGAAGGTGCACGCCCCCCTATATACGCTGTTGATCACCATGTCGACAGGTGCCTCGTTCCAGTAATACAAAGAACCAAAGATACAGTGTTTGAATTCTAGCTTGTTCCCAATGCGTAACATTTCAATCTAGGTAGTTTACAAGTTGTTACAGTCACCCTAATGCTCCAATTTGTGTTATAACTGCGAGCCGTCCAGACAATCAACAGATTTGCACAGATCTACCACAAACGAGCGTGTGTTCAGTGTGGAGAATCATTTATATTATACCAGAAAAAAAATCAAACAGGCATATGCGTTAAGTGAGCACTGGGAAATATTACAATCCAGTAATGGTTATGACACTCAAATTACTTCAATGTCTGCGAATGGCTGTTTTATGGAAGACGAATGTAATATATCCACCGATAAGAAATCAGCTCCAGCGTTACCACACACCGCCTTGTACGAACCAATCGTCAGTCAATGTGCTCAGATTAGAGGTTAATGATTGATGTGTGAGGCGGCGGTCAACCCCATTTGGCCTCTGGAGACACGCGAACCCAACAAATCACAGCAGTGACAGCGGCGGCGGCGGCTCAAAGCCCAAACCGCGGTCCACGGCGGCGGATAAAACGGACGGCACCAGCAACCACACACCTCCCAGTCTCCGTCCGGCACCGAACTAAGGACCAGGAGCAGCCCAGGAGCGGCCCAGTGCAAGGGAAATGTACGGAGGGCGGCCCTCAGCTGCTCGGAGTCCGAGTCGACCCGACTGTCCCGGCGGTCAGCCTCAGACAGGAGAGCGGGACGGGAGGTGTCGGCACCGGGGGGACTGGAGGGGGGCAAGGATGAGAGCCCCATCCGCCGCCACCGCCGCCTGTCAGCCACAGCATGATCAACAGCGGACACACACAACGAGTAAAACCACCGGAAACCAGTCACTAAAAACACACATCATACCACGGCGAAAACGGTGAGGTCGTGAATGAGAGCCGATGATAACGACATGGGGAGTAAATGACAACCGACGCCTCCGACTATCGGTTTACTACTAGTCCGTCTCGCAGAGCTCTGCGAGTCATCAAATGAACATTGAACGCATATTAACACACAGTTGGCTGACGCCTGCTCCCGTTCCGGCAGCCAGACTTGCAGACGCAGCCTTCATGGCCTTCATGGTCTCAATGGCGACAAAGGAGCGGGCAGTGAGAGGCTTACAATCGCTGACCGCTCGTCTCACTATAACAATGATGATCCGGCCAGAGTCTAGCAAAAGTCTATAAAATTCACACACTCACAGGGTTTGCCCGGGGACGGCGCCAGACCCAGGTATCTCCGGACGTCAGAGTCGCACGACTCAGTGGTAGCCCCCTCGACCCACAGGGCTGATCTATCTGTGACCGGCGGGTTAACCCCTCCGACCGACGGGCTAGCTCCTCTAATAGGCGAGCTGACCGTCTATGACCGGCGGGCTGACCTCTATATCCAGCGGGCTGACCCCTATATCCAGCGGGCTGACACCTATATCCAGCGGGCTGACCTTTGTGACCCCCAGCTGACCCCGGCGGCGGCCGGCTCACTCTGTGGCGTTGGCCTGCCGCTGGTCCAGCACGCCGCGCAGCCGGGCCATGTACCGTTTGGGCTCCGGCTCACCGTCCTCTGTGGGCTGGAGGGCCGAGCGGAGCCGGGCGCCGGCCGCCAGCGCGCGCTTCTCGGCCGACGGCTTCACCATGGCGTTTATAGAGCGCAGCTCCTGGAGGGCGGAGCGAGTCAGGCCAGGTTAGTGCGGGGTAGTGAGGCCAGCAGAGCTCTGACCACATACACCACGGTGCGGCACTTTGGGAAAGAACAGATGCACAAAAAGATAAGACATAAATGACATGAATCAAGAGCATCAATCCTCCCGATTAAATAGAACTAAAATCACGCAAAATGAAAAGAAACTTTCATTATGGCTGATAACAGTGCATAAACGCTTTAAGATAGTGGGATGAATGTAATAAAAGTGATTGGCCGCGTCAAAAACCCGCCGAATTTCAACAATATAATATAAAATGCTGTTTTAAAAATGCGTTTGCTTATAATTCGGCGGCCGGATTAAGAGGCCATTTGGTTCGCCCGTGTGCCCCGCGGGCTCGCTGTAACACTCACGTGCGCCGGGGACCGGTTAAAGCTGTAGGAGCGCATGGTGGCGGCACGATCGCCCAGTCGCATTGGCGACTGTTTCAGGGGACTGATGTAGATGGAATGCGCCGAGGAGACGCGCCGACTGCGCGGCAGGGGGCTGTGCCGGGGCGACGGCAACGGCGACAGAGGCGGCTTACCCTGCCGGCGGGGAGGACATAGTAGTCAACACACACGACAGATATCGGCCACTGTGCGCCGATCAATGGTCACTGCATCGGATCCATAGCACACAACATATGATGTAGGATTTTGAAAACAAAAAAGTGCGCATAGCGATAAGAAAGCAAGAGGTTGATAAAATTTAACATCCGCCACAGTCGCGAGGAAATTACTTTTACTGGTCGGAAAATCATTTCTAGCTTGGCACCGCTCGCTGGTATGTGGAGAGAAAATGGCCAGCCAGTTACGTCGGAATATAACAATTTGAGACGCGGCTAGGTGCCAAACGCACGTTACTCACGTCTCCCTTAGAGAATTTGCTGACGAACGCCTTGACCTTCTCGACGAACACCTGGTTATAGAACTGGATGATGTCTCCGCGCTCCTCGTGCCGGTCCTCGAACTGGTAGCTGGTCGCCGTGCCGGCCATCCGAGACGGCGTCGGTGGGCACGGCGCGCCGGAGGGCGGAGCTGTCAGAGGGCACGGGGCATGTTAGGTCACACAATATCAGCGGACACAAAACACAGACGCACTGAAGCGTAGAGTACATCGGTTGTCGCTGTCAGAGGGCACAGGCAAAATGCTAGAAAAACAGGCACGAGTCACTGACAGACCAACAGGCCCTACATTTCTTCGAAATATATTCACATCAGCACAACTAAGTCCGTGTGGCGCGGTAGTTTGTCCGGACTGACCTTTGATGGGTGCGCTGTCGGCGGGCGCCTCTCGCTGCTCTTTCTCTTCCTTCTGCCCATCCTTCTTCTCCTTATCCTCCTCCTTCTCCTTCTCCTTCTCCTTATCCTCCTCCTTCTCTTTCTGCTCCTTCTGTGCGCCGTCTGCGGGCCTCTGGACCACCCCGAGCAGCACCGAGCGATAGACGTGTGACTTGGCCTGCGGCTGGCACCGGTACATGCCCATGATGTCCGTGAACTTCTTATTGATGCCGAACGCCTGCGGAACGCGGAGGGGGGGGGGGGGGCGTCAATTGGGTACTGCCGGCCCAGTAGCGAAACGTGCGTACGTATGTACAGTCCACAGCAGAAGTAATGTGGGGTTTCAGTCATGGGTATGTTCTGCTTCTGAAGCTTAGGAACGATTAGCCAGACTACAATGAAACATTGAATGTAGCTTATATGCATCGTCACCCTTGCAGCTGCAATTTTAGCTATTGACATCTTCTTTTCGATCACTCCGCATTAAACAATCGCCAGTCAAAGCCAAGCGTTGAGATTGGTAAAACCCTACATTACTTTAGCGGTGCGCTGTACGTACGTACGCGTCCGGCCCCTCTCTGACAGCGGATAAGAGGGCTAAAATCTTGCCAAGCCCACCAGCATAGAATTGCTACAGGTCGTAACTTTCTGCAGTTGCACTCTGGGGTGCTCAGGAGTGGCCGCAGACTAACTGTGCCTACCCCAGCGCTATCATACCATACCGGTGTCGGTCTCACCTTGCAGACGATGAAGATGGAGGACATGATGAGCTGGTCCAGGTGGCGGCCCTGCATCACCGTCACGTGATGCACGATCACGTACTCGAACACAGTCCAGATGGTCTCTCGCACGTCATCCAGCAGTTTCAGCCGCTCGCACAGGTCACGCATCCGCACCGCCGCCAGGTAGTAAAACTGCGGACACAGGACGTCAAGGAAAGTTGAGAAAACCTGAAACGATTATCAACAAAGCAAGTCGTCGCAAACACTGAAACAGTCGGTCAGGGCGTGCATACTCAAAACGAATGAAGAGATGACACTGATATTGGCGGATTCACAAAAAATTCAATCTTAATTCCGGGCATTCTGCTCCATCTTACCTTTCTGAAGAAGAGTCCGAGCGAGTTTTGTTTGTGCGGTTTGACTGGCGGAGTGCTGCCGTCGCCGCCGGGGGTGGCTGCCGAGGGGGTGGCGGAGGGGGCGGCCGTCGGGGTGGCCGTGGAGACAGTCACCAGCGGCTTCTGAGGCGGCGTCTGGGCCGCCGCCGGCTCCGGCGCCGCGCCGACTGCGGTCTCAGCCTCAGAGGCCGCCGGGCCGGCATCGGCGACATCAGAGAATATCCCTGAACCCGCGACCTCGGAGAAGAGCCCTGACCCACCGCCCGCCTCCGTCTTCAGCGGTCGGTTTTGGACTCCGTCTTCTGCACCGTCGGTTTTGACTGCCGTCTGACTGTCCGCCGCGGCCGGGGCGGCCGTGTCCGTCCGCGCAGAGGTCGTCTTGACGACGGCCGGGGCGGGAGAGCCCGCTGCTGGAGCGCCGACCGGCCGCACCGTGCGCTCACCGTCCGTGACGGGCGCGGCGTAGCGGCCCTCGCTGCCTCGTGAGCCCACGAACAGGGAGTAGGTGCGGAGCGGCATCCCGGTGCCCTGCCCCCGACCGGCCGAGCCTGCGCGGGCACAACACAGGTCACAACGCCGCCGGACACAGGGCCACCGACTAACGAGAATGGCTATGATAGAAAAAGACACGTGAGAAGAGAAAAACTCTCCAAACACAATCAACCAATCAAAGATCAGAAAAAAAATGTATGTACAATCTCTCTTGAAAGTACCGCGCATCGGTGCGGCGGTGCTACCACGCCCGACCGAGGAACGGCTGTTAAAGTTGAGATTCACAGAACCAATTGATCTGAGATAAGGGTATGGATGTCGGGGAGGCCAAACCGATTTTGGTTCACCGGTACCTTCTTGATCCGTGTGGCGGTACTTTCAAGAGACATTGCACTTCCGTAAATTACTTGCTGTTTAATTCCATATCGGTAGACTTAGAAACATATGCACAAAAGATGAATGAATGAATGAATGAATGAATCAATGAATGAATGAATGAATCAATGACGGAATGAATGAATGAATGAATGAATGAATGAATGAATGAATGAATGAATGAATGAATGAATGAATGAACAAATAAATGAATGAAATTTAATGGACGATTTAAAAAAAAAAAGAAAAAAATGATTGACTTAATGGAAAATGAATGAATGAATGAATGAATGAATGAATGAATGAATGAGACGACAAATCAACCAGCACTTGTGGGGTCTGCTGAAGCCCTGACTGACCCTCTGCGATGACTCGGTGCTGTCCGCCGGCGGCGCGCGGACCGACAAACAGTCGCCGCCTGGCCGTGGACGGCGTCACCGGGGACATGAACCGGTCGGTGGCGCTCGACAGCGGCGACTGCTGCGGGTCTGTGGACAAATGGCAGGGGTTACAGACACAGATAAATACAGACAAACATAGACAGACGAACAGACGACAGAAGACGAACAGAGTCAGAGACAAACACCGTTAACAGCCAGCTGCTCAACAGCGGCGGCTGCTGCGGGTCTGTGGACAAATGGCGGCGGTTACAAGCACATACAAACACAGGCAGACATAGACAGAGAGAAACACAGAAAACAGACAGCTGTTCGACAACGGAGACTGGTGCGGGTCTGTGAGCCAACGGCAGGAGTTTAAAACACGAACAGACAAACATAAACAGACAAACACGAACAGACAAACACGAACAGAAAATAGAACAGGCAAACACGAACAGAAAATACGAACAGACAAACACGAACAGAAAAATACGAACAGATAAACACGAAAAGACAAACACAGACACCAAAACACAACATCATGTCGTCGACGCCCGCTTCGGGCGACTGGTCTCCGTCAGGTTGCAACCCGTTCCCCGATTACACAATACACACTCCGTCAGTATACTCACTTCTCGGCGACGGTCGGCTGTAGGTGACGAATACCCGCCTGACGGCCGGGATCGGCGACATGAGAACGCTGGCCGGCCCGCCGCCAACGGTCGGTGTCCGCTCCGTCGCCTCCTGTCGGAACAACACAACAGCTTTTGCTCAACATGCTCTGCCAGTACAGGGCAGCAATGGATAGAACAAGCACAGCAGAAAGCAGCAGCCAGGGATGATGACTATTAAAGCTGATTATGCTGTTGGTAACTGGACGTACAGTCGGCAAGGCCCTGGCACTGCTGGGGGGGGGGGGGGGGGGGGTGCTTCTACCGCGGCCGACACTGTACGAAACGATGACTACAAGGCATCACTGCAGCTGTCAGGCTGAGTACCTTGATATTTGTCTTAACTCTTAGCCCCATAATAATGCGACGAATCAAAGGATTAAAATGGACTGTTGCTGAACGCGCTCAAGCAGCTGAGCCTTATGGAGCCTAGACAGCCTTTAGGGTCAGTTTAGATTATGTTCTGGTGAAGGTCAGGTCAAGGTCAGGTCAACGTCAGGTCAAATTAGGTCAAATTTCAAAGTTGATATTTTGCATAGAATGGGTAGGTATCGATTCGATGCAGCTCGTCACGGGGAGTTCAATGGTGGTTTTTGTTTTGTGCTACGTGGTCTAGAATTGCTAAAAATTGGGTTTAAAAATATGACGTCATCAATTTTGAACAGTTTTTTTTCGCTATAACTTGGCCAAAAAAAGGAGGTATCGATCTAAAATTTGGTATGTATATAGAAGAGCGCAGGGACTATCACATATATTCCGGTTTTTCGAAATTCGGAACAAAAAAAAATCCAAATTTGGGATTTTTTTTGTTTTTCTGAAAAAAATTCTTAATTTATGGGGTCAAAATCCCAAAATTTTGAAAATCCGAGATAGCAGTTTTGTAGCGCTGTCTTTTGTCTACATGACCATATAAATAACTTCGAAATTGCTTGGTAACTGTAGCTTTTGTGAGCGTTTCAAGATTTCATGTTTTTTGCTCATTTTTGCTCGAACATGACCTCAGCTTGACCTCAATAACTCCTGAGTCCTGACCTAAGGTGACCTAATACTTGAAATTTGGTATGAAGGTGTCAAAATGATACCCGGAAAGGTACTCTGCGCGCCGCCGTTTTCTTGCTATTCAGGAAAAACCACAGGGGGGCCAAATTGGGCCCCCAGCGGGGCGAGGGTTAATCGGTGGCATAGCAAGGTCACACGACAAAAATAAAAAAGCTCCAAGACTTCTGGGACACCCTGTAGGTGGGTTGTATACTTGGAAGGGCTGCACGTCCGTACCTGTAGGTGCGGCGCCATCGTCTCGCTGCTGGGGATGTTGTACCGCACCTGTACAGTGTGTTTGGACTTTGGTAACGTCTGGGGAATGTTGTACCGTACCTGTAGGTGGGGCGCCACCGTCTCGCTGCTGGGGATGTTGCCGGACGCCGCGTCGATGACGGCCCAGAGTCGCGAGCAGCGCCGCCACGCCATCGAGTCGAGTACCAGCTCCTCCACCTGATGGGGAGAGCGAGACCAGACCGGAGGGGGTCAGTGGCGTCTGGAACTGGCGGCGTCAGCAGTGTTACTTAGGCTGATCAGCAGAGTGAGACCAGGGCCTCGTTTCATAAAGCTCTGCCGTAACTTACACCTTTCCGTAATTCACACCCTTTCAAACTACGGAGCGCAAATAAATCCGTTTCACAAAGCCACAACTGGAATTGTTTACACCTCCGTAACTAAGCATATTTGCGTAGTTGCCGTAATTTATCAAGCGTCCTACAAATTACAATTTCATGTCAACACTTGCTTTTTTTACGAGAAATTATAAACAATTATGTTGAATTTAAATCTTAAAAATTATTTATGAAAAAACAAAATTGATATTGATGACCATCCTTTATTAAAACAATATCTTGAAAACAGCAAAAAGCCAGCTAAGCAGAAGTGCCTAACTACGAAAGTGGCGCGGCGCGGCGAATAAACAATCTTCCGATAGTGGCCACTAAAAGCGACTGGTACAGAAGATTTGCAGTTTCTTTTTCTCATTTTGGCTGTTCTTTCTTCCTCACCGGGCTCAACATTATAAAATATATTAAAAATTAGCTTCGAATCTTCACATTTATTCAAATTCACGCAACATTTTTGTGCGTAGTTTACACCACTGATATCAAGAGCCTGATAAAATATTTGGCGTTAATTACGTCGTTTTGTGAAACCCAAATGGCATCAATTGGTCCGGAATCGAGCATTTGCCGTAAATGAAGCTCCGTAATTTCGATGGCGTGGATTACTCCGGTCTCCGGCTTTATGAAACCGAATTGGCATCAAATACGCCAAATCTGGCATAATTGACGGAACGCCGTAAGTAATTCCTTTTATGAAACGAGGCCCAGGCAGTGGTCAACGTCCAGCAACCTGAAATTTACACAAAAAGTTAATAAATCAGCACTAATATACTGCACGATTACGACTTAAAGCAACCACAAAAGCAAAACGATAAAAGAAACACCTACAGCCGCCTGAAATACTTCATTATGTTGGAACTTTCCAACAAAATTCGTTTTCATTAGCACGTTTCATTCCAAAGCCCGACAGAGCCACACGGACGGGACGGAGCGCTGCTCCCACCTTGTTGAGGTGTTTGACCACGTCCCGGCAGAGGCCCTGCTCCTCCCGTATGATGATCTCCAGTAACTTGTAGAAGTCATAAGGCTCGATGCCGAGCGCCTCGATGAGCCAGGGGAACTCGAGGGTGGCCGTGCTGTAGCTGAAGAGGACGATCTCCAGACTGCAGGCGAGCAGACACCGGTGGAACACCGTCTGTTCCAGCAGCACCTGAAAGGTGAAGGACGGGGTGGTCACCAGCCGGCGGCGACAGACAGTAGCCACCGAGCGGCGGCCAGAGGACTGCCAGTGGATCAATGGTCGGCATCCACTTCGGGGAGGACTCGATAATTTTTTGCAGACTTTGTTGAAGCAAATTATTTAGAACGAAAAACGGAGGTTGACAAAACTCATGTGGAAAATTTACGTATTTTGCGGAGACTGACAGGACTGTAAGATGAGTCAAACAAATTGTGTAAAGTTCGCCTCTGACATCATTAAATACATCCGAAGAATGTTCCGCAAATTCTTTAGAATGAAAAACGGCGACTGATTTACAAAACTACTGTAGTTTATTTACATATTTTGCGGAGACCGACTGGATTACAAGATGAGTCAAACTACCATCAAATTAGGTTAACTTCACCTCTGGCTCTGACATCATTAAATACATCCGCAGAGTGTTCCGCAATAAAACTCAGCGGTCAGCATCTCACCCTGTCTAACCACTCACCAGCAGGTTGACGTCGGGCCTCTTCTGTCGCTCGGAGGTGACCACGTTCTCCAGCATCTTGTAGTAGAAGGTGGCGGCCATGCTGAAGCGTCGCTCGACCAGCTCGACAGCCTCGTCCTCGGCCATGGTGCGCGCGCAGGCGGCGGCGAACTCGCTCCGAAACTCCGACACAAGAGTGGCGATCGTCTCGGTCGGGTCCGGCGTGCACCCGCTGACGGAACGGAGACGGAACGGTTAGAGGGAAACGAATAGAATATAGGAGATGGAAAGAGGAAGGACGGATGCCGGTCCGTCCCCATAAACTGATGAGAAAGGTCATAGCGAAGTCAAATACAGGATGGAAGTGAATAGACTTCACAGAAGATGATTATCATCGTCATCCCAACTAGTTTATCTCACAACTATCCAGCATGAATACGTCTCCCGAAAAAAAAACATACGAATAAGGAATGAGGAGATGCGGGGGAGCCGACAAGAAGAGAGCAGACAAAGTATCAAAAGAGTTCCAGACCACCCCCACCTCTCCCCCGGCTCCGTACCTGAGCAGGGCGGCCAGCTGGGCGCTCGGCTGCGGCCCCCGGCCGTCCAGCAGCGCCTGCAGCCGACTGACGCTGTACATGGACGCGGTGATGGGCGTGGCGGCCGGGTGGGACGGCGCTGCGTCCACGGGCCGCAGGTAACTCCGTCCCGTCAGTGGAGTGGCCGGCATCAGCACCGACTGACTCTGGGGGCGGCGGACAGATAACGTCACAAGAGGTACAGTCACTGGGGCGGCCGGGGGGAACGGGGGTGCCGACTGACTCTGGGGGAGCGCGGACATACACCGTCACCGGGGATTGCAGTAATCGGGACTTATCACTCATGGATGACTCAAGGGGTACAAAGTGCGGTGTGGTGCAGGAGAGATAAGCTCCGCACTTATGTTTTATATGTCATTCAAATACAATCGTATATGCTATCTGCGTATGTTCGGAATGACGGAAAATCGATGAGCATGAAACTTTGCCATCAATGACATTTAAATGAAACACTGCAACAGATCAACAGAATTAAAAAAGTAGCCACCAGAGCCATGGATAACACCTTCCTGAGGTCAGGTCAGATACTTTAATGTTTCAGTTGCTGAGACTGATCAACGTATCCACAGGCTCCTGGTTAAAACAGCCACGGATGGCCGTATGCACCTCAGTCGCGCTCCGGTTGCGCTGGGCGTGTCACTAACCTGGGCGCCCTGCGACAGCATCAGGCTGCGCCGCACGTGCATCCGCTCCGCCAGGTCTCCAGCAGTGACGCTGTAGTTGTTGGCCTTGCTCGGCGTGCCAATCTCCTGACAGGCCTGCTCGCCTAAGAACGTCCGCTCGTCGAAGTTGCCGCAGGTCAGCAGGTACTCCTCGTAGCGCTTGTTGACGCTCTTCCAGTTGGCATCGAACGTCTCCAGGGAGAGGATGCCGTGCAGGGTGTTGGCGTCGCCCCACAGCGCCTGGGGACGGGAGAGGCCGGACGGAGGGAGCATCGGTCAGTCAGAGCTCGGCAGGGTGGGCAGAGACAGGACACACAGACAATAAATAGATATGTAGATACACCGACGGCCGAGACAGGAAAGGGAGTCGTATAAACGACAGAGAGACTAACGGAGAAAGGCATGCAGTCAGCACAAAATACAGATACATCTTACATTCAGACGGGTGTTTGTTCGTTTATTTGGGCTTTAGGGATTCGGACAGATGAACGGACGGACAGACAGACAGACATCAGCCACTACCGACAGCAGAGCCCAGCAGCCACTCACATTGCTGGAGAAGAGCTGTGCGATCTTGTCCTTCCAGACGTGCTGCCGGATCGCCTTGGCCTCCACGATGAGCCCGTCGAACTGGTTGCACAGGTACTCCAGAATGGAGGGCACCACCGCCGGCGGCTCGTAGTCGCGAGAGTTGAAGTTGGCCGGCAGCGCTGCGGTGCCAGATCGAGGGTCAATGGTCAGGCTATGTTAGAATAAAGTCGCGATGTGGACAAAAAAAAGGTTTGATATCCATTGTCAATCAGTTCCTGAAACTCATTACAGAATATAATAGACACGCATCAGCGTGAGATTCCCACACTTAATTGCATGAGAAAATTCCTACATTGATTGCCAGCAAGGCCCAGACAGCGCATCAAAACAAATATATGGCGGCCAAATAAGTCGCAATTACGAGTAAATCATGCCATCCGTAACCGGGAGAATCGGTTCTTTCAGACTAGGAATCTCGTACCCTCCAACCCTTGAAGGATACTCAGCGGGTCACTCCCGAATCCAGACACTCTCCCGCTCGACCTGCTCCACTCACCGGGCGACTGCCTGTTGAGCAGATCCCGCCGGTCGGCCGCCACCGTCACACCGAACATGTAGTCGACGCAGGCCAGCAGCAGGTGGTACGTGCTGACCAGGTCGGACGACACAGACGGGATGGTCGACTTGACCAGCACAAACAGCGACCAGGTGAACTGGAATAGGTCGCTGGCCGTGCACGCGCTCCGCCTGAGGGAGGGGGACAGAGGACACGTCAGGCGACACACGGTGGGAAATGAGACAGAACGGTTCAACATCATCGGATATAAAAATCCACATTGAGAAAGCTCATTATCATTGCCATCCGGCGTAACTCAAAGCAAGAATGACGAACTATGATACATAATGTTCACGAGCTACTAATAAAATCAAGTGTTCACGAATTGATCAGCACGTCTCGTCTCCACCCACCTCTGTTTTCTGGACTTTGGCGGCCTCGGAGGGTCATCCGCGGGGTCTGTGTAGATGCTCTTAAACATGGGCTCAAAGTAGTTGTTGAATAAAAATGTCGAGACGGCAAAGTTGCGCTCCAGGGCGTCCAGGTTACGGTGGAACGGCTGCGGCAGATTGCACATCTCCGCCCACTTCTTGGACTTGTCGAAAAACTCGAGTAAACTGCGGGAGCATACAAAGCAGGCTACAGTCACACACTACACAGGATAGCAGGTACACATAACGCAAAGAACAATACATGGTATGCGCAACTACGCACTCAAATACGCATCAAAGAGAAAACTGGCATCGAGCCGCTTCGGCGCTCGATCTGTGCTCCCGATGCTCGTCGGTCATGGGCACTGTGCAGTGGTCGCACCAGAAGTCGGTGAGCGGAGCGGGTTGGGATAGGTACGAGGCTGGTCACGGTAAACATACTCTGCCGCGTAGGGCAGGGTGGAGGTTGGGATCTGCGAGAGAAGCACTGCTTACTGCCCACTTTCCTTGACCCAGCAGTCAGCACTGACCTGAACTTTGAGAAGCGCAGAAGCCGAGTGAGGCTGATGAAGTTTCCCTGCATGGGCGCCGCCTGGTGACCACCGACAGAGGGCACGGAACCCTTCCGGCACGAGACGTATAGCGAGCACGCCAGCCAGTGCAGCTTGTTACCCTGGCGAGTGGCACAGACTGAGATCAAGAACCACAGCTATTCACAACACTTCGCTACTTTGGGTTTAGATCTTTAGCAATACTCATCTCTAGAAGCTAAGGTGAACATTAACTTGGAAACAGATTTGAGGATTACAATTTGAAGGGATTGCAATTGAAGCTGCTATGAAAACTTTGGCAATGAACTCAACAGAATATCATCGAAGATACTATCCATTAAAAAAAGTTTCGCCCTGCCTGATTAAATGGAATGAATGAAATTCAATGAAGAGCTCATAATACTAAGCAAAAATGTGATGACTTACCTCTAGAGTGTAGTTTTGCTTCACTTGGCAATAGCTGTTCCAGGCTTCTCTTGCTGTCATCTTATCCATGTTGAGATCATAGCACATTTCAGTGAATTGCCCATGGACCTGGTCACTCTTCTCGTCGACAGCGTTCATGTTTGCAGTTGATAAAACAGGATGTGGAGTGGGCAATGGCATGACTGCCACTAATGAGATCAAACAACCATAAAAATAAGGTTATAACTATGCTGCTTCCCTGCAACAAAGAAAATATATCACTTCAACACTTGCCGGACATATTGGTTTTCTACAGACGGGGGCCCGGCCGAGGGCGGGGTAGTTCGACCCCCTCGCTGGTTCGTCCGTAAAGGACTGCTAGAACCTCGCAGAAAACCTTGATTCATGGATCCTGCAGCAAAAAGTGTATCCACCTAATGATCCTAAAGACAGTAAAAATCTGCTGAATTTGAAACTGTAGGTACCAGTACAGATATCTAATCAGAATTCAGAATCCACTTTGTTATCAAACAAAAGCATCAATTTCAATTTGAGATGTCTTTGAAGATATCACTGAGCATTGTTACGAGCGAGCGAGCGCAGCGAGCGAGCGAGTTCATACTGAATTAAGGGAAAATCCTGAATATGAGCGACCGGCCGGGGACGCTCTTCAAAAGCTAATATCTTAGGAACGGGACATCCGATTGACAAGCGGTCTTCTTTACTGAATGTCACTTGGACGTGAAAGCTCTGTGGTGTGATGGCCACCATGCGTTCTTGCCAACCAAGATCTCGTGAACGGCTGGGCCGACTGCGCTCAAATTTGGTACACGGTTGGGGACCAGTTAGTAGGGTGCAGTGCAAAAGTCAGTTGGGACTCCGCTTGCACGTGCGCACGTGTAGAATGCCGCTTCCAGATCTCAGGAACGGCTGGGCTAATTGCATTCAAATTTGGCACACCGCTAGCGACCGGTTAGAAGGGTGCTTTGCACAAGCCCGTAGGAAGTACCCTCTTGCCCTTGCGCACGTGCAGGGCTCACTATCTCGCTCGCTCGTTCTTCGCCCAAAAGGCGTTTTACTGGTAAAATATAATACCAACACTTCACTCACACGAATAGCAATTACCATGCCTACAGCGCTGAAGGAATGCTTTTTGGGCTTCGATTATTGTGAGCTTGGATCACTCTGAATCAGGATGTGAATTGTGAAGCTTATTTCATCCAGCTAAGCTTACACAGCTAAAAGGTCACGCTGAGGTAGCAGTAATTGATATCAGCAAATGTCAGGAACATGGCAACAGCGCTTATCCTGCCAAGATCATGACCAAAACTTGTGAGTATGATAAAATCAAAATGAAAAATACAGAGAACCCCTCACCCAAAACTCCGACCGCCTGACGAGTGTGAAAAAGAACGCGGCGTCTTCCCCAAATTTATAAACAGAAATCCAGTAATGGCGCACATGTGACATGTCCTGCGCACAATTCGCGCGAAAGTAAGAAATGTGCCACTACTAATTTAACAGCGCATTAACCAATGTTAATTAGGGCTTCAAATAAGGCAATTTTACCCTGAATTATTGACAAAAAGTCACACACACAAATGTAAAAATTAGATTTATTATGCATCTTTAAATATTAGGTTAAAATATTAGATTCAATGCATTAAGAAGTGCCTTTTTCTGTGGGAGGTGGCGCCAAATTTAATTGATTTTAGTCGCTGGAAAGATAATTAGACCCAAATTAGACCTTAGGGCGTAGACAATTGATGACATTGCAAGGACGAAAAGAAAAGACTGGACAGTAGACAGAAAGAAGTGACTTTCATTCCATTTGAGCCCTGCTCTTATATCTCAAATCGAATACGGGCACTCCCAATGATTTAGGGAGCGTCCGTCCGTTTCCCCGCGGGGGAACGCCGACCCGCGGGTCGGCCGGTCGCCGTAGCAATAGCCTGCTACTTGCTAGGAGCCGTTTCAGCCCTCGCCTTTTGCTTTGAAAGGAGATGCCATGCACGCATAAACTAGCCGATATGGTTGTGCACTAATGCAGCCGTTTCACCTGTGACCTGGAAAATGGAATTTCGCATCTTGTTTGGTAGGTATTAGGTATATTTTTAATTATTGTAACAAGATATAAAGGTAAGGCAACAAATGTCAAACAATATTGCATTGCATGCATGAATAAAACACTATTTCTCATCAGCTGCGGGTGAGCTGCCCAACAACCACATCCACTCATACGTGACAAAAAAAAACCATAAACCGAAATGTTCGGTTGAACCTTCCGACGGTTGCCAACTGCGTACATCGGATCGGTGCATTCCCCTTGCTTCTAGCCGCAACCATATGACGGGTTACGGACGGTTGGCATGCCTACTTTCCCGGCCTTGAGGAGGCCTTTTTGGGCTTTGGAGTTCGGCGCGCGGACCGCCCATCGGTCGGACCGATTTTCCTCGTTGGCGGTGCATATTTCAGTTCGATGCTAGGTTTTACGATTATAAACGGTACCTAAGGCAGCAAAATACTCTGAATAAGAACTTGTCAGACGTCAACTCGTGACGCCAGATCAAAAGTTCTGCATTTTGCAGCAAAAAATGTCATGTCTGTTAGCCGTACGTTAGGCACGATGCTGGATTTTAGCCCTGCGTCGCTCGTCTCGGTCCACTGTGCGCCGCGTCCGCTGCACCACCTGGCGGTCAGCGCCGGGCGATGCCGTACACCGGTCGAGTGACCTTGCGGAGCGGGCGGCGGCGGCGGCGGCAGCGACGGTGATCAGTGCTGGCGTCTGTGAGTCGCCGGTGTGGCTGCGGGAGCGACGGTGTGCTCTCGCAGACAGGTGCAGCGTTCACCAGCGACCACCTGTGATCGGTGAACACGGCACTGTCCGCAGGGACATCACCGACAGACAGCAGCATCATGGGCTAGCGACAGGTGCAGGTGAGTCGCCGGGGTCAGCGAACTTCCCGTCACCCCTCAGGCCGCCGGCGACTGTGACGCCATTGTGTGAATAACGTTCACTTTGTTGTGGTTTCTTTTGCGGACTGTCGCCGGCGGATAGTGGAATGTGACCGCAGTGCGTTACCTACCACCAGTGTAGATCGTCACCGCAATTATGTGCACAGTGCATTCTCGTGCATTCCATTTTACTGTGATCACTGGTGCGTCTCCCTCGCACCCAGCGTCCCACGAATTTAAATTACGTCTTGCGAACTATAATTACGTCCCGTCCTCGGTCCTCCCGTCCTGAGAACGAAATAAAAACTCCCGGCACCGTTTTCAGGCGACCGTCGGTGAAGGGGCGGTCGTAACGGTGCATTTTTATTTTGGCTGGCATCTCCACAGTGTTGCGTCACTATAGCGAGACAATCCGCGGCCCGGCCCGTTTTGTTACCTCCGTCCTCCACCACCCGCCTGGAACCTCCAGCACGGTGAATAAACGGCGGCCGCCTCAGTCTGCTCGAGACCCGACAGAGACGTGGTCCGGACTCTGGGTAAATATCATTCGACGTCTCATGCTCTGCATGAGACGTCGGCTGCGTGGGTTCGACTTCGATGTGAACGTACTTACAGAATTAAATTCCAAATACCCACTAAAAACGCCCACCGAGCTGCCGTCTATCTGGACCCACCCCGTTGACCGCCCGTGGGTGCAGCGGGCTGCAGCAGGTCACCCTTCAGTGCTCACAACATCGGCCAGACAGCAATCATTGCAAGTTGACCATACTTACTACGGGTCGCTCGCCCCGCAGGCCGTCTGCCCGACCGTGGGTGTTTCACTGTTACGATAAAGTGCTGGGGCGGGCCGGGCCGCCCGTCCGACCGGTTGCTGACTAACCCATCGGCGGGGGAGGCGGTGGCTGGCCAGACGCGACTGACGTCACTACTCACACCATGCGATCTACGGGCACTGTGTCGATGAATGGCCGATAGGTATGTGAACTATGCCCGGCAGACTAGACGCCAGCCTCCACACCTGACTGACCTCCGAGGGTCCGACCACCGACCTCCGACTCCGACCTCCGACCTCCGACCACCGACCTCAGGCGATGCGTCTGTGCGGCTGTCGGCTACGCCGGAGCACGGCTCTTCTGCTGGCCGTGCTCGGCGTGGCCGCCGTGCTCTACGTCCGCTACATGCAGCAGGAGGCGGAGCTGACCGACCCCGACCCGGACGTGGTCAGGATTATTAGGTGAGTCAACGTGGCCAGGTCACTGAATGGGTCACTTCAGCTAGTCTCCTCGGTTAGATCATCTCGGCTTGGTCACTGACTGGGTCACGTTAGGTCACTGGCTGGGTCACCTGGACTCTAGCTGAGTCACCTGCCCCTATTTGCATTGGCTAGGTCACCTCTACCAGGTCCTTTAATTAACCACGGCTAGACGACCACATCTACGAAGCAACATCGAATGGGACTACACTCGATTGTATCACTTTTGTTCGGTCAAGGGTTGGTTCGCAGGTCAGGGCAATGATTTGTTCATGCTACTCGGTGCGTCGCCTGTATACTGCTGCTTTTATGTGGTCTGACTCATCTTATCGCTTTGTTTCGCACAGGCAAAATAAAAACCAGAAGGAGTACATCAACCGGAAGGGCATCCACGTCGTGGTCGGCCACTACAAGGGCGACCCGCCCCCGGAGAACCTCACCGAAGGTCAGACTCGGTGCACACATGCAGGCGTGCACGAACGCATGCAAAAGCGTACTTAGCACGTCACTTTTTTCCGTTTTGCATCGATGGTGTGGTTCTGTGGCCATATTATTGCCGCCATATAACGTGATATAGCGTATAACACCATATATGATATAACGTAGTAAAAATGTTTTGCACAATGGCATGTCGCAAACTTGAATAAATGTATGACTGTTTAGTGTTTGGCTAAGTTATGGCTTTCACAAGCACCTGCATAATGTATGGTATCGATAAGCGGTATATATAGACAGAACCGAGTGCTGACGTCATCTCCGTCTCTGCCCAGCAGCTATTCTCAACACCAACGACTACCGTCCGGTGCCCGGGGAGGGCGAGAAGGGCATGCCGGTGGTGGTGCCGGCCCACCTGCTGGACAAGATGCGGAAGCTCTACCGCATCAACGAGTTCAACCTGGTGGCTTCTGACCGGATATCGGTGAACCGCTCCGTGCCGGACGTCCGACGCGCGGGGTCAGTGGTCCTATATGGCGCTCAGCTCTTCGTGTTGGATGCTCGGTATAGTTCGTTGTTTGAGACCCAGTATTCGGTAGTTGCTTATTAGTTACGGAGACTCGGTAGTTTGCATTCAGTAATTATTTTTTTTTTCTGAGAACTAATGCGTTTTCTGTGCCCTCTTGTTTTCTGTACTTGCAAGTTCTACCCTAATGAAATGTGGCCCATGACCGACATATGGAGGATAAAGATACCCATGCATTGTTCGTAACCAACCATTAACACGCATTTTCACTTTTTTCTCCCACAGATGCCAGGACAAGAAGTACGACCAGAGTAAGATGTCGGCTGCCTCCATCATCATCGTCTTCCACAACGAGGCGTGGTCGACGCTGCTGCGCACCATCCACAGCGCCATCAACCGCTCGCCGCGCGAGCTCCTGAAGGAAATCATACTCGTGGACGATGCCAGCGAGCGCAGCTTCCTGGGCCGGCCCCTGGACGAGTACGTGGCGCAGCTGTCCGTGCCCACTCGCGTGGTGCGCATCGAGGAGCGCACGGGACTGATCCGCTCCCGGCTGATGGGAGCTCAGGAGGCGACCGGTGATGTCATCATCTTCCTGGACGCCCACTGCGAGTGCACGGAAGGTAAGTGACCGGGAGCGACCCTGGCCATGACCTGACCTCGACCCTGATCGGCCATGATTCACTCTGTGTACGGTGAGCCAGTGCGTCTAGAGTCCGGACAGTTTGATGTTAGGCTGGGTTGACAAAAGTGGCCGTATTGCGCCCTGGACTGTCCGACAGGCTGGCTGGAGCCGCTGCCAGCTCGGTGTTGTAGTGCACTCTTTACCGATCGCTGTCTTGTTCGACAGGCTGGCTGGAGCCGCTGCTGGCGCGGATCGCCGAGAGCCCCACCTCCGTGGTCTGTCCCGTGATCGACATCATCAACGACGATTCATTCGCCTACACACGCAGCTTCGAGCTGCACTGGGGCGGCTTCAACTGGCAGCTGCATTTCCGCTGGTTCACACTAGGCGAGCGCGAGATCCAGGCGCGCAGGAAGGATAACACCGCGCCGTTCAGGTTGGTGAAGGGGATGCTTACTAAAAAAGGTCTGCTGACTTAACTTGGTATCGGGAGTGTCGGGAAGGGTACTACCCTCGGGTGGCTTGGGCTACTTAACATAAGAAGCCTACCCAGTCAGCTTGAATTGCATGGCCGTCCGTGTCTGTCGGCTTGTCTGTCAGTCGAGATTCTTACAGTCTGTATCGTTATCCAGTTAGTTTGTATGTTACGTTGTCCGTGCCGCTGACAGATTCTCCATCAGTTTATACCGTTGATCTGCCTGGATGAGGGTTTGTCCGTCAGCTTGAACTGTTTGTTAGTCTTACTGACGGTTTATCCGTTTTTTTTTTCACAGGACACCGGCAATGGCCGGTGGGTTGTTCGCGATAAACCGGGACTTTTTCTACCAGTCCGGGTCCTACGACCGGGACATGGACATCTGGGGAGGCGAGAACATCGAGATGTCACTCCGAGTGAGTCACCACAACTCATACGCGGCGACTCGCAGCTGAAATAAATGTTGTATAGTGAAATAAGTGAAAAAGGGCGTCCGTATTTGCGGGCCATGTTTGGCTGGAAGTTGTAAAAGCGATTGCTTACATCAGAAAAGGGCTTTATTTGGCTTTGGACGTGCCTTAGACCAGTGCACTTCAGAGACCATACTCCATAGATCCCTACCAGGGATAGCGGTGGCGGAATGTCCCCGGCTCCTGATTGCTAACGTGACCGATGTATGGCCCACAGGTGTGGATGTGCGGAGGCAGCGTGGAAATACACCCCTGCTCGCACGTCGGACACATCTTCCGCAAGAACTCGCCGTACACGTTTCCCCGCAAGGGAGGCGTGGGAGGCGTGCTGCACCACAACCTGGCCCGCGTGGCCACCGTCTGGATGGAGAAGTGGGCCGACTTTTTCTTCAAAGTCAACCCAGGTCAGTCAATAAGGCGCTGTTCGAGAGCGATAGGCCGTTACTGAGGTGATAAAGAGAACCTACATACCGATCTCAATCGATCTTTACAGCAAACCCAGCTAAGGAGTCAACGAAGACGGAGTCTGCAGTTCTGATACTGGTTCGTTTGGACGAGATCAGTAGGTATGTGGCAATGCAGTTTGTCGATGTTTCCCATTCCACGTCTATAATCCCGGCTCCCCTCCTCAGAGGCCGCTAAGATGAAGGACACCACGCAGGTCAGCCACCGGATGATGGTGAAGAAGAGGATGAACTGCAACAACTTCAAGTGGTTCCTCGACAACATCTGGCCGGAACACTTCTTCCCCGACGATGACCGCTTCTTCGGCAAGGTATGTTGTGTGTAGTCGGCACATTGTCTTCTCTCAAATACCTACTGGTCTTCTATTGGTATCAGCAGCAGTCGCACCATACATAGAATGAAGATTAGTAAATGAAGTAGCTTTATGAAAGAGAGGCATCATGACAGCATCAGTAAGGTTACCATTGCTGGTCAGTGGTCACTGGAACGGTGGATTTTTTGCGAGCTTTTGAGTTGTGAGGCGTTCTTGTGTGCCGTTTGGCGTGCCATTGTCCTGAGCTTTATTCAGTCGGAATATACTCGGATGTTAATTTCAACCAGCCCGGCCGCTTATCCGTGCCTTTCTCCGTTTCCAGATCCGTAACGACAAGCTGGAGCACTGCGTGCAGCGTCCGTACGCCACGGGCACGGGCCAGCCGTCGGGCCCGGCCACCACCACCGACTGCGCCTCCAACTGGTACACCCCCCAGCTGTTCGTCATGACCGTCGACGGCTTCATCATGACGGACGAGTCCGTGTGCCTGGACGTGCCGGACGGAGGCCGTGAGACGGCAGAGTCGCGGGTCCGGATCCACGGCTGCAGTCAGCTGTCGCGCCAGAAGTGGTTCCACGACTCCAGTACCAGTCAGCTGGTACACGTGGACTCTCAGAAGTGTCTGGACCTGCCGACGGCGGCGAACCCGGAGAGTCTGGTGGTGCTGGCCTGCTCTGACGGTCCCAGTCAGAAGTGGACGCTGGAGGAGGTCCCGTGGACGTGAGGAGTTGAATCTCAGGTCGTCTTGGACAAAACACTGTGCCTCAGAGGTGTGACGAGAACATAAGACGTTTATCATACCAGCTGTGTGGCTAGACGATTTGAGAGAACGCCGAGCGTCTATCACAAACTGAGAACTGCATCTCAAGGATGTTACAAAACGCTGAACGTCTATCTGAGGAGAGATTTGACCAGCGGACCCAGTGATACATTTCCGACCATTCCGTCCCTGTGATAGTGATACTCGTGCCTGCAGGAAACTAGCCATTACTCTGCTCGGAGAGCTGAAAGTGAACGCGTGAGTGAGCGTTTCGGTGCCGGGAGACGAATTCTCACTCCCAAGTCAGTGCCGACATTTCATCTGTTCATAACGTGCTCAGTGCGAGTGTTTCAGGCGAGCCCGTGATTGGTGATTTGCGATAACTCAATAACCACCTTTTCACGTTATGCGAAAAGGCGCGATAGGGAACGGATCGTTGCTATTTGGAGTGACTCGATGGGCGGCGATGGTCGCCCGCTTGTGATCGCGGGTCGGACGGGGCGGACCCGATGGCACCACGGCCGCATATTGTCGGCCGTGTGCTGCCCAAGGCTCTATAGAAGTGCTGCCCTGACCGCGCCAGCCCCGCCACAGCTAACCTACCGATACGTTTAACACTGACCAAAGGCGCCCGCGCGCAGGTCTCCTGGCGGGCCAGCGTTCAATCCGCGAGTGTTCCTAACCTCTAATGTCTTCCGTCCAAGGACCAATGATGTCATGTCGCCAGTGACTCAGCGGCAGAGTAAGAGGCTTATTTATTACTACACCTAATGTCTTGTTTTGATACTTGTTCTTCGTAGTTCGTACCGAAAATGTGCTGACGCTTTTGTCATGACAAATATTTATACCTAACCACACGATATTTTGTATCACAGACTGAATCAATATGAAATAACTTTATTCAGAGTTTATCAATGAACAGAAAAATACAATTCTGGAGGGAAAAGTTACAAAACATGTGATAAACTGGTTTCCACACTTGCTTAGAACGAGTCTCTAATGCGGTGGAGTGAATATCTCCTACGCTTTTGGTCTTTTCCGCACATCACAGTTAAAAAGTAACTCTGCACAACATTGGTAACACCTATATTAAACCTATACATTATACAACGTGGGCGGCCGGCCGGGGGCGGGGGCGCGGCGGCGCGGCCGGCGAGTATTGACCAGGTGCGGCGCCGGGCCGCTGCGCTTGTACTGTCCGGTTATGAAGCTGAGTGCCGCGCCACCGCGCCCGTCGCCGCCGCTCGGCGTCCAAATCAACGGCGGTGGAGAGACGGAGAGAGAGAGTAGGAGAGGGGGAGAGAGGGGAGGCGGGTGGACAGCCGGGACGGCGTTAGTGCCAGCGGGTCGGTGAGTGGCGGCAGGGACGCGGCTGCTAGCTGCGGAGACAGTCCAGGAGGCGGCGCCGACCGCCGCCGCCGCCGCCGCCCTCACACTATTGCACACGCGGCACCCGTATAGTGCCGCCGGCGGGGGGGCGCGGCGCCGACCTAGGGCCGCGCCGGCCCGCGCGCCGGCGGCTCGACCTCACGGCGGCGGCGGCGGCGGCCGGCCCCGGCGCCGTCCGCGACCTACTCGAGAAGCGCTGGCTGTCCGAGCGCGGCGCCGGCGGCGGTTGTACCGCCCACCGGCGCCGTCAGAGGGGGAGACGCGCGCGCCGGCACCGCGGCGTCAAACAATGAGGAGGCATGCAACACATACGGAGCGGCCGACCGAAGGGTGGCGCCTCGGGGGCGCCGGCGACTGCGGCCGCCACAGAGGCCGCCGCCGACGCCGACGCCCGTCTAATGCTAAGCGAAAGCGTGGCGAGCACGGTGCCACCCTGTGCGGGTGACGCCGCGTCGCGCAGCGGCCAACTAATCCTAGGTCTCTCACGGCGTGCTGAGGATATCTGGGTTTGGTGCGCACGGGTCGGCGGCCGGCCTGCGCTCGGTCGCTGCCCTCTCGGGTGCGATCAGATCGCGCGCGCCGTCTGCTGGCGCGCAGGCGGCGCCGTTTAGAACGGCTCGGCCTGGACCTGGGCCGCCGACCCGCCGCCCGGCGGCTGCCCGCGGCGGCGCCGTCCGCTGGGACAGCGCGCCTGCGGGCGCGACCGGCCGCCGACCGGCGACCGCTATGGCACTGGCGAGGCGGCGGAGCCACCGGGCCGGCCGGCCGGCCGCGGCCAGGGCGGATGCGCGCGGCGGACGCGTCACAAAGCGAAGCGATTCTCCCCACCGTGCCGAATAGACGCGCCCCGGGACGCGGCGTTGGCGCCGGCCGCCGCGCACCAGCGCCGCGCCCCACGCACCCTGCTTCTCTGACTAGACCTATCCTTATAAATATGTACAAACAGGCTGGCCGCTGGGCGGCGGGCCGGCCGGCGTCGCGGCGCCTCCGGCAGCGGCCGGGCCCGACGCGGCCGCGCGCCGTCCGGCCCCTCGCTCGTCCACCATCCAATACCCAAATATCCGCGCTCACTAGCTTAACACTCTTTTGAAGAGTTTCCAGTAAGGTACTTGTCTATACAAAAAATGAGAACACTTTAACATGAACTATCACTTAAAGTTCAAAGAGGGCATCCGGCTCGTGCAAGAGCACGAGCTGGCTGGGACGGAGCGGCGGCCGCCGCCACGGCCGGCCGCCGCCCCGCGCCCGCCCCACATAAGCGATTGTGTCGGATAGTTTGATTTGTTTCTGGCCGTCCGTGTCCGGCCGGCCGGCTGACTCGTCTACAGCACAGCGTTAGTAGTTTGATTTGGCGCCGCTCAGAGCAGGTGCAGGCCGAGCGCGGCGGCCGAGGCGGCCGGCTCGCCCGGCCCGGCCGGCAGCACCGGCAGGTGGTAGTACTTGCAGCGCGGCCGGGCGCACTTGCCGCGCACAGAGTCGCGGCACACCGTCACCTGGTTGCTGCTGGTGATCTCCACGTGGTCTGTAGGCACCGGGAGGGCGAGGTCAGCGGGCGAGGTCAGCGAGCGAGGTCAGCAGGGGTCAGAGGGCGAGGTCAGTACAGCGAACACACACCAACCACAAAGAGGACGACCGAAGGAGCTTCAGACAATCGGGATAGGGCACACATTGAGGAGAGTAGACACCGCACGGCCGAATGAGGGATTCGCTGCTCCAGATAAATGAATCACACACTCACAACGGTCAGCGACAATTTTAGGGCAGCTCATGCACAGCGAAGCAGTTAACCGGCTGGGCTTTCCTCTTTGTTAAAATGACAGAGCATCATCAGAGCAACACTCGATAGTCGATATAAAGGCATCTCCACGTAAATCAAAGCAACACGATATAGAGGCACCCTCACGAAACGAAGAAGTAAAATTAGTCCAAATTCTAAGAACTACTACGCTCAATCAATCACAAGCGTTAGCTGCTAGTGAGACCCTCGCCGGCTGCCCCGAGCCCCGTCTGATCTTCGCTCTAGCCACAGTCACGCCAAACACGGCCCACGCACCTGGGACGTAGTGGACAAATTTACAGGCAGGCCGAACGCAGGCTCCTTTCCTAAAATCTTGGCACACTGGAAGGTTGTCCAGCAACTGTAAGACAGAGACCGGTGAGCGGACGGTGCGCCGGCGCCGGCCGAGAGCATGTCAACATTGCAAGTGAGAGAGAGAGAAAGAGAGACAGAGGAGGCGGCGCGGCCGGCCCGGCCGGCGGCCGCGCGCCGCCGACCGAGCCGACAGCGTGCCCGCGGCGCGGCGCGCGGCTCTCAACGGCGGCGTTATCGTTACTGGACAAATGTGACGGCCGCCCGCGCCATCGGCCTCAAACGCGCAGCTGTATTGTATTATCGTATATGACCGGCCAGCAATTGTTGTTGATAAGCGTCGTTACTTGTCACATGCTCAACTATGCATTCGATTTAGCCACAGTTTCAAAAACCTTTGACTTTGAGATAAGCAGCGAACAAAATTCAATACTGGCAAAAGAAAAGAACACACGAAAAGCAGTATAACGTCGGCCGCCGGGCCCATAAGCAGCGGGGTTGTCGGGCAAAAAGGATGGGAGAGGTTGATGGCGCCCACAATTTGCTTCCGTAATGACGTTCGAAATGTGATACTATGTGTATCCTGCTGCTTCAACGCAACGATTTAATAAATCGTTTCAATCATAGTGCGATTAGATACCTTTTGAAGAAGATCTCTTTCAATTCCTTGACCAGTGATATGGAAACTCAGGCTGATGTGCAATGTTAAATTATGATCAATTTCACATTCGCTTTTTTGATTTTTTTCAACTCAGTTGATTTAGAATTAGTAGACAACACGAAGAATTAGTATTGAAATCGAGGAAGAATGTTACAGCAAAATATGTTTGAAGCCATGAATATGCTCTCCCACCGGCTAAGCTCAGTGAGCTGCGCCGCGGCGGCCGGTGGGGGCCGGCCGGGCTCCTCCGGGTCACGGGTCGGGTCAGAGGTCACGGCAGGACGCCGGCAGCTGAGGAGGGCACGGACGCTGAAGCGGGGACGGAGTAGGCGGGCGGCGGGCGCCGGAGGCCGGCGGGTCCGCCGGGGCGGGCGGGCGGAGTCAGGGCGCGGTCCGGCCGGTACGGGTCTGACGACTCGCGGCGCCAGCAGTGGGCGCCGCCGGAGAGGGGGGCGGCCGACCGCGCCCTGTACTCCGCAGCACAAGCAGGGCTGTAGCGGGCCCGGCGGCGGCGTGAGGTCGAACCGCCGCTCCATACTACCTGTCCCAGAGAGTCCGTGTATGTCACAGAGTGTGCGTTATTGCCTAGCGTCGGCAAGCCAGCCCAGCCAGCATGCACGGGAGTTGAAGCCATGCCACGGGTCGGGAGACGCCGACCCGGTCACAGGCGTCCGGCCGCCGCAGCCAAAGAGACGCGCCAAGTGTGGCCGAGCGCGCGCGGCCGGCCGGCCGGCGGTGTCGATCAGGTGTCGGTGGAGTCAGGCCGTGGCCGACGGTCCACGGAGCAGTCAGCCGTGGTCATTCCGACGACAGGAGAAAGACAAAGAACAGATAGAAAGAGAAAGAGAACAGAGAGAGACAGAGCGGGGTTGAGAGGGGAGAGAGCGGGAGATAGAGCAGAGCGCAGGTGTGACGGAGCGGCAGAGCGGAGGAGCGGCGGGGAGAGAGTGCAGGCGGAGTGATCAGCCAGGTGCAGCCGGTCGGTCGGACGGATGATTGTACGGACGGACGGACGGACGGTCGTAACCAGCAGGAGAGCAGGAACGCAGGTCCGTGTTACGGGAAGAACATGGAAAAGCCAAAACAGAGAGAAATTAATGGTTGGTAAAATGACATCACATATGAAGCTGGGAAGCGGTTCGGACTACAAAAGCACCTTTCCCATCGTCCGTCATCACTTGTGGCCTCAAGCTTCTAAGATATTAGTGAAAAAAGAAGAGCCCAAAATTGGGTACGGTACCATTTATAACACGACTTTGACTAATACAAACATAGAAATACACACTGAGAGTGTAGACAAACAGCAAGTACACAGTTCATCGTGCAAGCCAGCAAGCGGATTGCTCAGCGACACGAGCCGTATCTTACAACGCCATCTACGAGGCAATCCGCTAACTGCGAGTTGTGCAGTCTGCCGCCCGTGGTGCACACACTGGGAGCCACGCGCGAACGAGAGGCGGCAAGCAGAGAGCGGCGCCGGCGGCGAGCGGCCGGTGGCGCGCCCGGCGGCGGCGGACGCGCCGCGGACACCGGCACACCGCGGCTGGTGGAGCTCGGTGGAGCCGAGAGTCCGTCAGGACGGTGAGCAGGTGAGCTGGCCGCATCGGCGGGCCGGTGTCCGCGGCGCGGCCGCCAGTCAGCGGGGTCGAGGGTCTGTCAGGCAGGGAGAAAGTCAGTTTGGAGTTCAACAACTAGAAGGTCAGCTCAGGGTCCATAGTCAGAGAGCCAGTATCAGTCAGTCCAATGTCCATTAGTCAGTCCAAGGTCCATCACTCAGTCCAGAGTCCAGAGTCCAGGGTCTGTTAGTCCAGGGTCTAG